GTTGTAGAATCATTAAAAAAAAAAAAAGGAACTTTAACGAAAAGCTTCCAGTACTGTTCATTTTAACGAAAAATCACATTTTTACACTAAAAGTCAATCTTGGTACTATTCACTTTACCCTTTATTTTGTCCTTATCGTTAAAACTAAAAAATTTCAAGCCATTTTTATTAGTTTTTCTTAAAAAAAAATGATTTTCACAAAGAATGTTATCTTTGTTTTGAGATGAAAAAGACTTTTGTGATATAGAATTATATATAGACATGTGAGTTAGACCTGACATTCGTGTCGTTTTCGTGTCATACCTGATATCTTAACGGGTCGTGTTGTGTAACACCTGTTAAAATAAACAGGCAAAATGACCCGACCCAAAATCGACCTGATAATATTAACAAGTAATATGACCCAACCCGTTATCTGTTAAGGAAAATATATTTTAAACCAATAAATAATCAAATGAAAAAACATAATACTAAATAAGTATATACATACTATATTGTCACATCCAAAACATAAAAACGCAATTTTCTTTTAAGTATATTTTCACTTACCTAAAGTCTTTAATAGTTTTTTAAATAATGTAGAAGTGTAAAAAATATATAGAAAAAAATATATAAACGCTCGTAATGACAAGCTTTACAACTTTCATGAAGAGCATAACTTCGAAATTCATCACTATAATCATATAAATCATAGATCAAAATTTAACCGTTGATTGTTGTTTACATTTACGTTTCATTGTTATCATCAAATTTTGTTTTTGTTTTTTTTGTTTTTTTTTAGATTTTCTTTCTTGAAAATTTGATCTATTAGAGGATGCAGGAAGATGAACGGTTTGGATCGTTGATATTATATTCAGAGTTTTATGGTTAGTGAAAATATTGCTTGATGTTTATAAAGTTTCTACAAATTATATGATATCGACTCATATTTCAGTTAATCGTAAATATCGAAACGTGATATCAAAGATCTGAACCGTTCATCTTCTTACATCCGCCAGATGATCATGTTTTCAAAAAAGAAAATTTTAAAAATGAAATTTAGTAAGAAGAATAAAGTGTAAATAACAATCTACAGTTAAATATAATTTAAGGTTTATGAATTATAGTGTTGGATTTCGAAGCTGACCCCTTCATGAAAGTTGTAAAGTTTGTCACTATGAGTGATTGTATATTTTTTTTTACATTTTTACACTTCTACAATAATTATTATTAATTTTGTCCTCAAATAAAAAACATTATTCATGAAGGTTTGGAGGATTTTAAAAATCTAGACGATAATGTAAGTATAACCATTATCTACTCGTGGAGGAATAATGATGAATCGCGAGTGTTTATATATTCTTTCACATTGTTTGTACTTGTATGTATGTCTTCTTAGTTCTTGCCTATACAAATACTATATTAGTTTATTTTAATTTTGGACAACAACATGTTAAGTAAAATTTATCCTAGTAATGATAAGAAGGAACTCTCATAATAAAAATAAATAATGACTAAAACTTTTTTTTTTTTAACTTATATAGAATAATAATACAAAACTATATATTTAATATCGAATATATTGTATATATTAATATGGCTATTGTATTTTATAATAAATCTTTTAGTAATTAAACTTTAAAATTATCAAAATAATTTTTTTCTTAATGGGTCGAAACGGGTTACCCACGTGTTACCCGTGTGTATACCCGTTAAGAACCCCGTTATTAACGGGTCACCCGATAATGACCCGATAAGTTATCGTGTTGACCCGAAACCCGTTATTTTCATATCGTTTTCGTATCGTGTCAAAAACTGCCGGGTCTAATGTGAGTCTTTAGTGCATAGACATAAAGTTGCATCTTCACACTTTTTTCTTTAGATTAAAAGTTGGAGCAAATCGAATTTTTAACCTAACATATTCATAAATACATTATTTATCTCATAAGGAAAAATGAGTACTTTAAACTCAAGACTAAATTTCAATCTTCCCTTCCTGATACAAGTAAAAGTATAGTCAAGTAATATATATTTAGTTCTTTAAGAAGACGGACAAGAAAAGTAAAACAGAACAATTGATTATCATCATAATCAAGGAAAACAATGAAGGAAAAAAATCAGCATCATAAAAAGAAGAGAAAGAAAAAAAAAATATAGCGTGTTTAAAAGTTTATTTCTTTTTTATAAATTAGGGTAGTACTATTTATACACGAATTTTTTTTTCTATCAAACACTTTTATTATTTTTTGTTCATTAATACACTTTAATTCTCTTGATCTGATAGTTGAAAGTTGAGAGAGAGAATATGAGAGTTAAAAATGAGTGTGTGGACACCATTCATAAATTATTATTGAACTCACTATTTGCAAGATGCTTATTGCACATTCGACTTTTAACTTATAAATATAAATAAAATATCATTTTATCATTGACGTGTTTAAACTTTTCATTAAGGTAGCATGATATATGTATTTTCAGATAAAAGTTCGCAAATAAACATGTAAGAGGGAAAACAATATATAACGGGTCACTACTTTTTTTCCTCTACTGGTTCAAAACCTATCATTGGTAAAGTTCTAGAGCTAGTTGGTAGCTGGTCACAAACCAACCTAATAAACACACTCAAACATTAGTGTAATATAATTCCTGCGTAAAGTGATGCAGAATTTTGTGTGATTTGGTAATTTTCGAAATAATATCAACCTATTAATCACAATAGAGTGGTTTAGTAGTTGTGGATGAATTTTAAATTTATATTCTATACGGTACGTTTTAGGTTCGATTTTTAACATTTATGAATTGCATAATAATGATTATAAAAAATTAAAATGTCTTTCTGAACTTTTCCAACACTCAGAAGGATAGATTGTGGTCGTGAATCACCAACTAATCACTTTTTGAGAGAGAAAATAATATCAAACAATTCCTTGTATATAAGTCGAGAGACCGGCATATCATCCAATGGAAGACAAGTGTTTTCTGGTCCGTTTCTTTATTTACTTACGTATGCGCACACGTAGACATGGGATGCTTTTTATAAAGCATATGACCCTACGGGTTTTTGCCTTCAAATAATTTGATTATGATTTTCTTACTCTAAAACTTTTGTCCCATTACCATCCCCACGCGGTCGACAACAAGTAATCCCCTTAAAATAGCATTTAACAACCCTAAAATCTCCCGAAAAGGCAAAACCGGCAAAAACTAACCAGTGCAAACCCCCCCCCCCCCGCCCCCCCGCCCCCCGCGGCGCCCATATTGCTTGGCACAGCTTTCACACTCTTTAGCAATCAAAATATTAATTATTTCAAGCTTGGAATTTGGAAGCTTTAACAAAAAAAACTTTTAGTACTGTTTATTTTAACGAAAAATCATATTTTTACACTAAAAAGTCAATCATAGTATTATTCATTTTACCCTTTATTTTGTCCTTATCGTTAAAACTCAAAATTTTCAAATTATTTTCTTTAGTTTTTCTTTAAAATTTAAAAAGGGTTGAAGGGTTCGCATAAAATTATGATCGTGACAGAAAAACTGGGTGATGAAAGTGATGATGAGACCACAAGACAAAGAGGTTTTCCCGGAAACTGTACTCTTTTCCTAGAAAGTTCCCCTCATGATTTATTTGGTCCACACTCTACACCATCCATTATGATTGATGTGTGGACTTGTATTCAGAACAAACTTTTCTCAATATCGTTCATCATAGCGTGCCTATAACGTAAACATGTAGTAAAATTTTCTTTTTCCTAATCAATCTGAACCCTCTATTTATCTGAATATATAGCTAAGCTACTCTCAACTTATTGCGTTTGTGTGTTTCATTATTGTAAAGGTAGAATATACGTTATTTTTTTTTCTCGTGGACTCTATGGTGTAAAAAAATAATAGTTACTTTACGTTTGATCTAGTCTAACAGATGATTTAACTTAATTTTATTTTCTTTTGCACTGCTACATTAGATCGAACTATAGGTAACCATATTTTTATTGAATTATAGGGTATATAAACGGAACTTAGAATTTTTAGAGGGGATTTAGGAATTTTAATCCATAGGAGGGGAAGGTGGATTGGATCCTTGTTAGGGTTGGGGTCCATGCATCAAATGGGGAAGTAGATTCTGACTTTGATACAAAATCTCTCGATAAGATTTTGTGAAAGAAATAAGATTAAGAGAGCCATTGGTATATCACGTGGGTTGTGACCCCATTGGTCCTTAGTAAAACCATAGCATGTCACATGACTATAATCCTTCACTAAAATTATTAATTTTTATATGTTGAATAAATTATATTTTGCACCTTCAATTTTGAATCATATAACAAACTCATACCTTATTTTTTGAACATTGTAATATTATCTATTAACTTTTGAACATTGTAATATTATCTATTAACATTGTAATATTAGATGAAAAATCATCTAAAGTGCGTTATATGCAAAAAACATATGCATGAAGCACTTCAAATGTTTTTAGAACTCAAAAAAATGTTCTTTAAAATTTAAAGACATTTCCCAAATGAGCCCACAATATATAGTTAACTCGAATTAATGAGTTTATAGCAAATTCAAATTTTTCTCAAATAATATAAGAATATACGTACATGTTTACTTCAAACTTATGGTTTGCAAGTGATTGCTATTTTCTTCTAAACCGCTTTTATCCTAAGAATTGATACTTCTGTCATATGCATTGTTTTTCTTCTTCTTATTTTTAGTTTCTTAAAGATACAAAAGGAAAAGAATTTTGTGGTGGATATTGTATTTATTCCGATAATTACGATTCTTCCAAAAACATAACCTTTGTTTGGTCGAGTGGTTCGAGATTTCAATCCTATCTGATATTTCAAACATCAATGCCAACCTCTTTCACTAAGTCATGCATGAGGATTGTGGTTTGTTTAAATTTTCATAGATTATCAGATATTTTCATGCTTCCTTACGTAAGTTATGCACGCCTGGTACAAAAATCAACTCCTCCAAGAAACCTTTTTTTAAGCATCGATTAATCAACAAATAAATAAGCAATAGTAATCCCTTCATGGATATATACCCTTCATAGATATATACCCTTCATAGATATATATTTCTTGACGATTTACAAACATATATAATTAAAAAAAAAGTATAAGTAATTGATCAGTAACAACTATTTTCTACATATTAATTACACTAGTCCTTCGTTCCACTACAAAGCCCTTAACCAAAAATATAGGGATCATGAGGGTTTGATTTCTCTTAAATCCATTTCTAACACAACAATAATTAATTTCCTAATCAACAAGCTGCTGAGGGATTGGTAAAGTGATTGTAAAAGTGAGGTTTTGGAGCCATAGAAAATGGGCTCTTGGATGATCCCTCGCTACCCACACCTCCGATTCTTTCACAAGATGGACACATAGTGAGGGTGGCTGCTGGCATGTGCATGTACAAAGGTTGGCTTAATTTCAGTGCCTTGAGTTCTATCAGCTCTTTTTGTAGCCTCCTGTTCTCATCTGTTAGTGTTTCACAGCACTTCTTCAAGAACTCACAGTCTACCTCAGTTTGCTTAAGCTTTGTCCTGCGAATTAACCAATCAAAGCCAACATAATCAATTTCTGTGTATTAATTACTTTCTGGACCTATTGGAAAATAACCCAGAAATTTTTATTTGGCCTGAAATTAATTTTTAATAGATACCTGGCTCTCCTATTTTGGAACCATACTTCCACTTGTCTTGGCCTCAAGTTTAACTGCCTGGCTAAAGCTTGCTTTTGCTTCTGTAAATAAAGCCAATGAAATTAATATATGTTTTCCTGGAGACAATATTAGTAATAAAAGATAAATGATTTTCTGACATGTTTCCTTTCTCGTGCGCATTTTGTTTATTTCTGGATTTTGAATTGAATAAAGTAAAAAAAAAATCAAGATACAAAAATAAATAGCGACCTGCAAAATCTTCCTCTGATCAAATAGCCAACAAAATGATGATTAGAGAGAGAGAGAGAGAGAGAGAGAGAGAGAGAGAGAGAAATTACAGGATTTAGAGTGCTATGTTGTTTGAAGCTTTCCTCTAAGAGAGCAGATTGTTCCTTGGTGAGCCTAAGCTTCTTTCTAGGATTAGAACCGTCTTCATCTTCATCACTCACTCTTGAGGAAACTTTCTCATCGACCTCAACCTCTTCACTGCTGATGTCTCTCTCCCTCTTGACCACTCTACCACTAGAGAAGGAGTTAGAGACTGCGCTATGACTGTGAGGAGAGGACGCTGCTGCAGCTTGCCTGTACAAATCAACTGTTTCCTCCTGAGAAGAATTACCAACCTTGTAAATATTGGAGGCTACCATTTGTTGATGATACGGCTCACCAAAAAGACCTAAAGTTAAGGATGGCTCAAAAGCACCACTCGTTGGAGCAGAATTTAGGGAAGGCTTAATATTATTCTTTGCAAACGTTATAGGGTTAGAACTCTCCAGAGAAGCAGACGATGTGAGACCTAAGCCTAATACAAGGCCTGTGTTACAAGCATGATCATCAAAACCCATTTGGCAGAAGAGGAGAAGAAGGAGGAGGAGATGTAATTGGTGGTTTGTTATGTGAAGTGGGGGGTTGGGAGAGATAATATATATGGTTAAAGTTATGGGAGTAGAAGGGTGTGCGTTATGAGTTTGAGAGAGAGAGAGAGAGAGAGAGAGAGAGAATTAGGAATGAGACTTTTGTGGGGGCGTTGGGCGGGTGTGGGTGGGTGGCTATGATTATTAATCAAACGAAGGAATGAGTAGAGAAACGAATGGGGCATTGGGAAATTATGAAGGTACCTCTCTTATCTATACATAGGTTGACCATTTGAGTCCCACTACCATATAATATTATACATAATATTACATAAATCTCCATTCCGCTATTACATCCCCCCCCCCCCCCCCCCTCTCTCTCTCTCTAGAACTCATACATATGCTATTGCTTGCTGCTAGAATCCCATGGCAGTGGGAAACACATCAAAGAGGATGATTCGCTTGTGCTTCGCCACCCATTAACGTACCAATTCTAACTATTGCTAGCTACTACTTAAATTTTCTTTTCATATATGCTTCCTCTTGCGTTTGTAGGTTCTTACTTTACAAGTATATCAATTATTGGGCACACTTTTTCTGTTTGCTTTCTTACTTGTAAGGTTCTAAAAGATGCTAGACACACTAGATGCTAGTTGGGCAGCGGATTGAGGTCTATATAGTGCCTAGGAGACTAGGCAGGACCTCGGCGGATTTAAGTAAATGTGTTATATATCGTATAAACAAGTATATGCTTATACTTAAAATTACATAATTTCATTGGGATACGTAAATTACAAATAGAATGACATATATAGTATAAAGTATTAGAACATAATGAAAACATGGGGAACAATCATATAATATGTGTTCAACTAAGTATTTAATAAGTCTCTTATAATTTATTGAAAAAAAAAAACTGTCAAACAAAAGTTATCTATTTTATGTCTAAGTGAGAGTTGCGACCGAAGTGGGAGCCTAGGCGGGTTTGGACAGGCACCTACACAGGTCTAGGCGACCTTTCTTAATTTTCAAACGCCTAGGATTAATTAGGGTGGTAGCTAGTAGCCTAACGCCTAGGCGTCATTAAGTGAGGATTTATAGAACAGGTGTGTCCTAGCAGAAGTAGTTCGTGACATGTTTTCATCAGAAAAGAAAAATGTTCTCTTATGTATGGTTTGCGCTTTTAGATTTGATATTGAAAATGTATATTAAACAAATATGTTTTTAATTTCATCATCTCAAGCCATGATATCAAATTCAACTGTGAGTGATCATATATTCTTAATTACTAGATAAGGAAACGTGACTCTAATATTTATGCCAAATTAGCTAGTGTGGGATTTGCTCATTCAAAGGTTGCTTTATCTGATTGGAAAAGGAAATAAATAAATATTGAGAAGATCATGATTGGATATTAAGAAGTTCTTTTTAGTTGTAACAGCCCACATGAACTGTCTCCCACTCCATGCTTGCTTCATTCAAATGGCTAGAGAGACGGACATGCATCACATATGTGTCACCTCTTTGAATATTGCATTCCAACTTTTTATTTAATGGGGATGGGTGGATATTATAGATAGGTAGGTGGTTTTTAATTTTTTCTTGGTTAATTATGATTTTAATTGAGAGAGATTAAAAAGAGATGTCCACTAATATAAATGTGTACACACACACACACACATATATATATATATATCTAGCATTGCATATATAATTAGTGTTGGATTAGCAGTAATTTCCTTTGTTTTCTTTGTTTGTTTTGTGAGAAAGATAAAGAGAAAGGGAAAAAAGAAAAGTAGGTCGAAAACATCCCATTGGAGGAGTACTACTGCTAATATAATTCAATTCAAAAAGTTATAATTGTGCCACGAGAATATGATTCATCAACAAGAATCCGGATTTTTGCTTAACTAGAAAGTTGATGTGGAGTGTGTGGGACCTACTCCTCTCTGTTCATACAAATACAAATACAAATAATAGTAATTAAGCACTCTCTCAATAATATTATTGCTTTGTCGGCGAACGATTTATGCTGATGAGGGGAGCTGAGTAGTTAGGTCACCTATAAAACATGATAACCCTAAAATAATACAACGCAAGACAACAGCAATACAAGCTTCTATATTGCATGCTTATTAACTCCAATTACAATGTTAATTTAAGGACAAATAATTAGGGTTTGAGAGAAGGAGGATCACTGTTTAATTATTAAGCTTAGACATTCATTGACGAGAATAGTGTGCTGGCATTAGTACTGCTCCACCGAAATATAATGTCCACATATATATATATATATATATATATATATATATATATATATATATATATATGGGATTAATTCTTCTTACTTTTTAGTTGTTCAAGATTGAAGCATGATACAAAGTAGTACTTTCTTAATCATCAAGAATTCAAAGGGGATTTAATTATTAAACACTTGCATTATCACATGATTTTGTTTTGAAATGCCATGCGTGCAATTCTATATATTCAATGGTGCACATGCACCTAACTCTATAAGAACTTCAAAATTTAGATCCAAATAATAAAGACTTTTAACGCGCTTCGGATTATCAAAGATACTTATGAAATATTTGATAATTTTTTTTTAAATGCATTTGGATTACAAAAAAAAAATACTTGAAATGATTTCTAGAAAAAGCATCTATGATGTGTTTTTTTAAGAAACTTTTCAAGTACTTTTTAAAGAAACACTTGCATTTTCATTTAAATATTAATATTATTATGATACAAGCGTTTTTTTTTATTGAAATCGCTTCTGAATAAAAGTGCTTTTCAGAGACCCTAAGATTATTGGAATCATATACATTTCTTAACCTGTCGAATTAGCTCGAGACATTTGATTAGCAATATATGATTCACAATGTATTATTGTGGTGCTATATTCATTATTCAACTTGCTCAAAATATCAAACATGGATTGAAAACGTGGTTAAACTTATTCTTTATATTTCGGCTAAAGAATAATAACATCTTAGACAGAGGAGAAATATTGACTACATATGGTTCATTTGAGAAAACAAAAATGGTATAAAGAATATATGGGTGAACCTAAACTTTCAAAGAACGTATAAGGTTCCGTATTTTCCACTCTTGACCCATAACATCCAAGGGTCACTTTATAATTTTATATACAAATAACTAATAATTATTAGATTGAAGAAAGATCGATAAAATGATTAGAGTTCAAGAAAATTATTTAGTATTGTTGATGCACAAAATCAGTGAGAACTTTGGTACAACATAAAGTGTTGAGTTTGTAACCTTTGCTAGATTGCTTCGGTCACAAGTGTGGATAAGTATGTAAATAGATAGGGACAGGGAAGCAAACACAAGATGTACGTGGTTCACCCAGATTGGCTACGTCCACGGAGTAGAGCAGTTCTCATTAATTGTGAAGGGTTTACACAAGTACATAGGTTCAAGCTCTTCTTTAGTGAGTACTAGTGAATGATTTAGTACAAATGACATTCGGAAATATTGTGAGAGAATGATCTCTATTTATAGAAGAGAGTTTCTAGTTTCATTCTAACATTGACATGTGTCGTGTTGTGATTGGCTTCTGATGTTGACACGTGTCGCGTTATGATTGGCTTCTAATGTCGACACGTGTCGCGCTGTGATTGGCCTCCTGGTTGGAGGGAAACTCTTCTGGGTCCTTGACAGTATAACGTTGACCGGTGCTCAGTAGTTTCGGGATTGGTCAAGTATGGTACAAACAGTGCTCCCCTAAGTTCCCGAGTGAGGGAAGCTCCTCGGTTGGGGACTTGCAAGATCTAAGTCATTGAGTAATCACGAAACTTCTAAGTACCGAAGTGTGGTATCATTTTCATTTGGAGCTTACTTGTAGTTTCGGGCTTGGTCAAGTGCGATACAAACCCTATAGTAGGAGCCCCCAAGTTGTCGAGTTAGGAGATTTGCTAAAGGAGGTAACAGACAAAGTAAGCAATCAGACTTCAAAGCAAGCAACCTGGATCGGAGGTTCGACTTCGGCTTCGGGTTGATTGTTCTCTTTCTCCTTGTGTCGTAAACAGTAACAAAGATAAGGAGAAGCAAATGGAGAAGAGATGATATGAGATACTTTTGCTTTTGAAGAAGTAACTTTCCACAGGCTTATTCTTGAACTGGGCTGGAGGGTTTTCTGGTTTCCTCCAGAGTATAAGGTCGACTCAAGAATTTGAGGGTCAAAACAAGTCCATCAAATCTAGAGTACGTTCGACCTTGATGATATGGGATACTTTTGCTATCGACAAAGTAGTGGATGTATCAGCATGTGTTCTTTTACGCTTGTCTTCACATGCTTCCTTGTATCTTTTTTACTTGCCCTATATGTTCCTCAGGCAGATGTGGTATCTTCTCTGGAAGCATAAGATGTTGAAGATGAGTACTCGAGAGCAATGCCAGGTAAGTAATCAGGCAAGGGGTTCTAGGCAGTCAGTTCCTGACTGGAAGCTTGATTCCAAGTGCTGACTGATTGCTCTTTTTCTCCTTGTCTTGCAGGTAAGAACAAGGCGAAAGGAAAAGACAGGGAAAAAGCATGATATGGGATACTTTTGCTTTTAACCCTGATGATATGAGATACTCTTGCTCTGGTATGGCTTGTTTACAGAGGTATTATCGAGAGGAAAAGAAGCTGAGTATTTCGAAAGACTCTGCTAAGAGTGCCCTCTCAAATGTGGAGAAAAGTTGATCATTTTTTTTATTTGCAGGTCTTCCTGGCTGTGGAGGATGGAGGTCGACATATATAGGAGTCTCCCTAACAACAAGTAGTAGTGTTATTCCTTTACCCTTCTTAGTCATAGCAATGTAGTAGAAGCTGCAAGTTTCACGTGTTTTAACTTTGTCAGAGCACTTTGAAAAAGTGGTTTGTGGTATCTGGAAAGCTAATGTTGCGTGTGAAGATTGCAGACAAGCTTTATCCGAGGAAATCTGGCTCTTGAAGTTCGGAGAGCGGTGCCTCATCAGTTTTCGAACAAGCAATCCTGTCAGGGATCTGGCTCTCGAGATTCAGAGAACGATGCCTCTTCGATTTTTGAGAAAGCAATCCTGTTGAAAGTCTGCCTCTTGAGATTCGGAGAGCAGTGTCTCTTCGATTTTTGAGAAAGTAATCCTGTTGGGAGTCTGGCTCTTGAGATTCGGAGGGCGGTGCCTTTTT